GTTAGTATACTGACGTGGTATCTAAGTTATTCATAGCTAGTGTACCGGTGTAGTACCCGAGCTATCCATAGTGAATGTACCAACGTGGTACTCGAGTCAACCAACAATCACAAATAATTAAGCACAATCATAAGCACAATGAACAATACCATTTGAAAACCACAAGTCACATCATAAGATTATCAACATGATATCATTTTATATGTCTCCATATGTATTTTCTACCATTCATTGCACAAATAATACTATAAAGCAGTAGACATACATAAACCAGAAACATACAACCATCACCTACCTCGAATCAAGCCTCTTGGAAACTCTAAAGAACCTGAGATTTCCTAGTTTGAAGTGTCTTGGATTGTTCTTGGTCTAAATCAATAAATAAAGGCAACAATCAATCAACAATGACTTATTAATTACCGAGATTATAACAAAACCCTAACCCCAGGCTAATACATGATCATCTTTTCCAACTTAGGGATTTTTCCACTATGAAATCATGTCAAGACCCTCGCCCAAGAGCAATAATCTAGATTCTAAGGCTTAAGAATTAAATTAGAAGATTGAAGAGTAACAAACTTACCTTTACCGATGAATTTCATAGAAAATTGGGTAGAATCTGGTATAAATCACCCCTTTCAACATTCAAGAACAAAGTGCAAAAATTAAGAGATTTTCTGGTTGTTTCTTCATAAAATCCCATTCCCCCTGTTATAAATAGAATCTCCAATATGGGCTAGGACCGTTGGGCCGGCTTGGCCTAACCTGCAATTTAATAGGGTTGAGCTAAGCTTTTTGGAGCCTATTTAAGAAAAAGATTTTTTATCCCGGTTCGGATAAGCCCGCTGGTTTGTGAGGCTTCAACAATATGGATTTGGCCGGCTTGTGGGTTGAATAAAATATTATTAAAATAAAAAATAAAATACCGTATTAAAAATATCAAAAGCCAAATTCAAATTCTATTTAAAATTTTAAATATTAAAATTTAGAATCATCAAACGTGATATACTTAGTATTCCTATTACTATTGTATCAATAGAATCATCATTCAATATTGGTGGACTAGGCCCGTTGGGCCGGTTTGTCTTAACTTGTGATTTAACACTACAAGTAAACTGTGAATTACCTAGGAAAGTTACTTGGGGATTTTGTCCGCCGATTTTCATGGCAAAATCTAAAATTCCTAAATTCTAGAATATTTTACCTGCGAAAATCATTTTCCCAAGAACATCCGTGGTTAAATTTGGCGCCATTTTGTGCAAAATATTACCTAGGGAATTATGTGGGAAATTTATCCGCAAAAAATATTTTCATAGCTAAATCCGCAAGTAAATTAATAAAATAAATTCCTTTATTTATTCGTTGAACAATTCCCAGGTAAATCTACCTGTGAATTTAGTTAGGGATAGTTATATGCGGATTTACTTGGAGATTTTCTTACTTGGGGATTTATCTAAGGATTTTAATTCAACGAATTTAGTTAGGGATAGTTGTATGCGGATTTACTTGGAGATTTTCTTACCTAGAGATTTGTCTAAGGATTTTAATTCTGCAAATTTAGTTGGGAATTTTTTCCTAGGAATTTACCTAAGGATTACATTACCTCGAAAATTACACGGGGATCATTTTATTTGCGGATTCAATTGGAAATTTCTTTTTGGGGATTTGCCTAAGAATTTTATTTAATAATAAATATGAAATAACTCTGGTACTTGAAAAATTTACTTGAGAATTGAAATTTTGTTTCTAGAGATTTAACTTAGTATTTAATCTTAAGAAGTTTATTTGTGGATTTTTTTACAAGAAAATATTTGTATATTGAGTTGTGCAGATTAAAAAGTTTTTGTAAACTTTTAATGTGATTTTAATATATACTAATTATTTATATTTAATAATAATTAGGTTTTCAAAAAAATAGAAAGTAATATTTGTATGCAATATTCTCACTCTAATAAGGTGTTTAGAAGAAAAGGTTTAAAACAACAATACACATAGACATATATAATTATTAATAACAATATCATTTTTTTATAAATTTATATAGGGTGAAAAAAATTTACATTTTTAACTTTGATATAAGAATTAAACTTTGAGTACTAGACTCTCTCCTACTCATATGTTTATTAAATTTATTTAATGCTTATTTCAATTTTATATTATCAATAAAAACTAATAATTATAATATACTTTTTATTTAAATCCATTTAAATAATTTATCCATAGAAAAAATAATATAATTTAGATGACAAAAAGAATGAGTATATCTATTAAAACACACCTTGGTTATCGATTGTTTACTTTTCATACCTGAAATATCACCATTGTTTAAGGAGAAAAAGTGAGCAATCGATAGTTGAAGTGTATTCAAATAAATAGTTGGTGATAGTTTAGATAGAAAACTCGCACACATGATACTTCAGTTATGAAACTCGAAACAACAGGATTTTTTAAGTGTATTTTTGACCATTAACTTTTTTTTAAAAAGGAAAAATTAATTTTTATAATAAAGTTGAGATATATAAATGATTTTCACCATTTACTTTTTTCTAGCAATATCATTAACATTTATTAATTTATCTAAAGTTGATTGTATGTAAAATTCCGTCCCTTATTAACTGTACTTTTTACGGATAAAAAATTAATTTTATATTCTAATTTAGTGGATGAAAAGTTGTGAGGATTATAATAGTCATTTAGTCTCTTTGTACCACATCGGCTAGGGACAATAGCTTATTGGACATTATGTTGAGCAAATTCTCATTCCATATCACGTGTAATGTTGATTTAAGTTGGCAGCATTAAAGCAAATATCTTAATTAGATTTACCAAGGATAAGAGCCAGGGGCGGACCTACAGTGGTTCACTTGGATATATATATATGTATATTTAATCTATTTTTAAAATTTTATATGTATATATTAAATTTTGAACCCACTAACACAAGTTGAAGCTTAGCCGAGTGGCTGAGGGGGTTCAATTTTCCCAGCCAACCCGGGATCGAATCCCTATAGCCACATTTCAGTTTTAATTCGTTTTTTTTTATATATAAAACATTCACACACAATTTTGTCCTAAGTAACTTTTGTCCTTTTAGTTACTTAGGAACTATAAAAAGTAGAACAACTTTTTACTTTTACATTTAAAGTCCAATAGTCAACAACTTTTGTCCTTTTTGTTTTTAGTTTTTTTTTTTTTTTTAAAAAACTCAACCAAAAAGGCACTAATCCCTATTATTTTCAATTCTAAAAATCCTTTTATCTTCTTCTTTGTTGAAAATCTTCTTGAACCTCTCTTACTTTTCCCCCCAAAATTTTGA